CCATACATGGAGTAAAGTCATGTTGCTTATTTATTACAAATTACTGTTTTCATCAACTTTATATTAAAGTCCTACCTCTCTCAGTAAGTGAACAATGAGGGAGTTCTAGAAGAGCTGCTCAGTGATAGCATTTTTTCAGAACAATTAATGTAAAAGAAGAAAATGAGATCAATATTAGAACATTTTTTGCTCAACTTCTGGGAGACGATCCTAAAAAAACCTGGTACATTTAAGTCCAGCTTTCATAAACTGCCAGGAAAAATAATGTCATTTCTGTCCTGTGTAAGTCTGTACCATCTAATTTTAAAAAATCTATTCTGTGTACTACAAATTAATGAACTTGATGTTTACAAAGTTGTCATTAGATGCATCTATAACAATGTTTCCTAAAGCATACTTTTTCTAAGGAAACAAATGCACTAAAAGGCAAAATTCACAAAGTACTGAAGACAATGGTGTGGTGATGCCTTGAGGGGCTCCCAGAGCAGAGGCTGGACAGTGCTGGAGAAATAAAGTAGGGATTTATTAAAAGGCCTTCAAAGGAAACACCTTGGGCAGTGCAAGAGCCCAGCTGAGGCTGCACCCAAGATGGACAATGGGTCCATCCAATTTTCACACTTTTATATGTTTTGTACCATTTCCATATTGGGGTTAATTGTCCAATTACAGCTCCAGGTTATAAAGTCCCCTCCTCCCAGATTGCTCTCCTCAATTCACTGCTGTTTACACTTTTTGGACCTAAAGCTGCACCAGTGTCCTTGGTTCTCAGGCTGGAAAAGGCTGGTTCTCTGTTTTGTCTGCCTGAAATGTGAGGAGAATTGCTAATACTTCATAAGAAGTTCAGAGTCACACACTAAAGGCAGTACAGAATCTAAAAAATATGATAACTAAAACTTAAGGCATCAGTGGGAATTCTTATGCTTCATAATTCAAGTGTTTTTGGCAAATGAAATTTTCCTGGTGAAGAAAAAAGACAAATTTAATTGGAATTTGGAAGAGGTGTACAATAGAATTTTGGTTTTAAGGACTGTTTTCTAGTCCTTGATGTAACAATTTAACATGGTCCTAATCTTGTTATTTTCTTCCTAATAACTAAAGCACTCACTAAAATGTGAAAAGGCATGGAGAATTTTTGCTTAAGGCATCCGTTAGTCAATCAGTTTTGCTTTACTAGGTAAAAAAAAGATTTATTTCTATCTTATAAACGGCTTCTGAGTGAGCAAAGTCATCATTATGATTATATTTGACCTTCACTGTTCAAACTTCGGGAAAAATAATCACAATTCAGACAGTTAATTAAAAACACGCAGTGATACAAAAAATTGAAAACTGCTTGAAAATAAAGAGAAACTTTTATTTGTAAAGTAAAGCTCCAGGTGCAGCTGTTTCTTAGGGAAAAAAAGAAGACTTTTTTTGAAATAACTCTGCTGTTATAATGATAGTAATTATTTTTATTCTGCAGTTGCCCGAACTTTCCAGTCTCTAGAATACTATGGTATAAACCTACTGACAAAACTGCATCTGTTGATAAACCAGATGTTCCATAGATTGGCCTGAAGTGTAAGGTAGTATTTTTTTGCAAATCTGACAGGTTTATCCTGATATTAAAATCTGTGTATGTCACACAAAGACACACAGTTTGTGTATGTCCCTCTTCAAATATTACTACTAGGTCTCATGTAGACCCCAAAGTAACACTTTGTACCTGGTTCTATTTTTTAAACAGATTTAAAATACATTAGTGAAATTATTTATTTGCCTGTTTGGGGAGGCTTCTGATTATTTTATAATGTTGTTACTTTAGCATTCACTGCTTAGAATAAACAGACAGAAGAGCTGCAGCCAAAGGGCTTGGTCAGAACTGGGATCTCAGTAACTATTCACTAAACATTCACTCTATCCACTGAATAAAGCAGAAACTATGCCTGTCCTGCAGACTGACACCTGCACAGTGTGGGCATTCCATCACATCAGAGGGCTGCAACAGCCTGCTCTTTATAGGGAAAAAAGGGTTGAATTAAATTCTCTATAGGTAGCAGAGCCATGGGTAGGGAAGTATTTTACCTTTAGATAAATAAGCTGTCCTGAAAAGCCATTTCCCAGCTTATTGTCACAGAGGTCTTCTATTGATCACAGCAAAACAACACTGTGATTGATCCTTCTTGGTTTTACTATTTCCAATATGCTCATAAACTACAAGCCTAGATACCATTTATGAGGAAGATAACAGGACAGCATGCTTGAGCCTAGGTTATTCACTATATGAAATTTTGTAAAACAGAGTCCAGCTTCTTCACTTCTATTGGTTTTACTGCAAAGGACAAGTAGACTATTTAAATAGCACTGCACATAGAAATGTTGCTTGATAAACCTATCAATATATATACTCCTCCATTGAATCATACAGATTTTATACATCATCCCAGCCTTAGGAGCACACCAGCTGTCACATTTATCACCTCTGTGTTCAATGCTGCCTTCTGTTATTTCAAGTCTTACCTTCTTTTCTATCAGGCTGTGTTCCAGCTCCTATATTTATGCTTGCCCTTGATCTTCATGGTGACAACTGGGAAGCCTTTATTGCTCTTTAGAATTCAGCTTTCCTGTTGACACGTTCTATGCAAACACACAATCTTTTCTCTAAATAAAATCAGTCTTTGCCTGATGGAGCTTAGCACATTAGCAGGTAACTCAACAAAAAGTGGACATTTGGCAAGGAAAGGAGAACAGAAAAGGCTACAGTTAAACTGGTGCTTGCCAAGACAACAGAGTAAGTTTTCATGCCATGTAGTCAGCACCAAAGCAGCTGCTTTACTCTTTCACACCTTGGGAACTCTGTCCTTAGTCTTCTAAAACTGATGCACACACACACACACACTTGTCTGCCCTTCTGCTACTGTGAATGACTTCACTGAGAAAGTCATGAACATCCTGAAAAGTCTGCCATGCCAAGTGCTGCCAGATAGGACAGAGCATCTCCACCAGCAGTGTTGGGCTGATGTCTTTCTCAGAACTTCCACTTTTCTGGATGCTTTGGGCACCAAGATTAAGAAAATTAATTTCCCATTGAAAAGCCATTTTGTTATGTGAAAAGAAGGAATACAAGAAAAGAAGAACAAAAATGAGCTAATATTTGCCAACATTACTGATTAAGAGAACAGAGAAAATTAAGCAGTGGTGCAAGTAGCATTATCTAGAATTGGTTCTGACACAATGACAATATTTTTTTTGTTACTGATGCCCCACTCGGGCATGTGCAGTGTGCTCTGCCATCATTAACACACACTTGAAACAGGAAAAAACAACATCTAAATCAAACCATACTGCAGCACAGCTTTGGTTTCAATTGCAAGGGACAAGGCAGTCACAGTTTCATATAAACTATGTGAAATTATATATGGCTTCAGGCACTACCAATCAGCCAGTGAATGAGACGTCTTATTTCTGTCACTCTATCAACTCAAAATCCACCCCTGTAAATGCACTTGAAGCAAAGACAGTGTAGAAAAAAGCTAAAGGAAGTAAAGATGAACTGTGCAGAGAAAACAAACTGAAATCCATATGGAGCAGAATTGCCTGCAATCTTACCATAATCTAACTTTTTTTATTGAATTAAGTACTCCTTGAAATCTGAGGTCTGTTATTGTAACCCTATACTCTAGAAGAAGTTACACAATTGACAGGAATTATGGTCATTCTCAATTCTCCACTGAAGAAAATTCCTTCACTTCCAAAATTAAATCTAAAAAAAAAAAAAAAAAAAAAAAAAAAAAAAAAACAAAAAAAAAAAAAAAAAAAAAAAAACCAAAAAAACCAAAAAACAAAACAAAAAAAAAACACTTTTCTGCAGCACTAGTTTTATTTCATTATGTCTTCTTTTATTTTGCTGCTCTTTTTTCCCCAGTAAAATTTTATTTATTCTAAACCAAAATTAAGCAAAATCAAACACTTGTTTTCCCCCACAAACCAGATATGAAAAGGACTGTAAATATTCATTTTAAGGATAAACTCTTGGAACTCGTCAGCACCATTAAGTCAATTTACAGAGACTTCCAGCTGCATTCTGAGGCATCAATGACCTTTCCAGAGAAAGTAATATATATATATATATATTCAGTATGGTTTTTTCCTTGTAAAATAGAAACATCAGTCGATTTACCCCTTGTCATGACAGAGGGCTGTCCCAGTCTGAAATAGATTGCAGAGGTGTGCAGACAGAAAGGAGAGAGCAGCACCTGACTTGTGGAGAATTCTCTCCCAAGGAGCAATGGGCAAAGCTCGATATCCAAATGCTGTTACTAAAATGGCTGGAACAAAGATCAGCTGTGGAACTGACACTGGCTCAAAACCCAATCCTTTTATGGCACCTGCCCTCTTCGGAATTTAGAATTAAACAAAAATAGGTATGCTTTATCAGCAATGAATCTTGAGAATACTTCCAAACACTGTAATCAAACAAATGCTTCTTTGAATGTTCAGCTAAACTCCTGAATCTAATTATCAGTCTTCACACTGCTCAGGTTAATTTGCAATACATTTCCAGCTCAGAAGTCAGTTAACAGGAATTCTACAGCATTGGTAAAAATAAAGAAAAGATAAAGAAAAAAAAAGTATGCCTGGAAAGTGAATCTTTAGTTATTTTGCTGATATTTTAAACTTGGTTCTGAAAGAAGTAATTCCTTTGCTATAGAAAAACTTACTTGTTGACCTATGAAACCAAACCAGTTTTCTCACACATATTTTGAGTAAGTAGTCTTTGCTTACAATGATTTGTATGCATACACATAATCTGCATACTAAATCTTATTTGGAAGTAACTTTGAAAAATGTGAGTTCTGTACAAACCAGTCTACAAGGAACAAACTATTAATTAAATTCTTAGGTCTAATAATTCACTGACTTTTTATGCCCACATTTTTCCCAGACTTTAATGTGATACCACACCTGAGACCAGGCAATTCATAGCAAAATCTTGCTGCAGTTGCTTTTTCTAAACTCACCTAATTATTAATTTGAAAATTCTTCCCTTTGTGAAGACTCATTGAAGCCTCTCTCCAGCTCCTGAAGCTCAGCTGAAGACTGTGGCAGGAATATGCTGCTGTAAAGAAAATGACAGATAAAGACAATTTTATTCAAAACTGAAAAATAAACTGGACCTGTAACACAGCTGTAAAATATAGCATGTGTGTTCAAAACAATAATTTTAAAGTAAATGCAAGTCATTGTTTTAATACAATGACCTCAGAATTAAATAGTACTGCTTAATCAAATAATTAATTATATTTGTGACCCTGCAGATTCTGCAGTAGCCTCCACTCCTGGATAGCCCTCCACATTAAAAATACTTGTTTTTACTATCACTAAATATAGCAAATATTTAGGAATAACAGAGAAACAATGTGTAAAAGCAGACACACTCTAAAGAAAAAATCTATAACAGATTTTTTTTCATTAAGAAAATATCAAGAAGAAAAATAATCAGCTCTGTGTTCTGCCAGGCTAAATCTACTAGAACTCCATGTGATTTGCTCCAGTACAGCTGCAACATCAAAGTCCCCTTCTCTGCTTCATGACAACAAGGACTGTGTCCATTAATTACTAGATTTGGAATTGGGCTGAAGAGTCATCAGTTTGCACAATTTTTGAAGGTCAAGATATTGTCTGAAAAGAGATTCTTCTTGCATTAATGTGTTTATATAAGAAAGATTAACCAGGCTGCAAGATACTGAAAAATGAATACAGGTTGTTATTAACACATATTGCTTGCCTGGGAACTGTGAATAAGGCTACTTTGCAATTCTCTTCTACATAGGAAAAAATGAAGCTTTGTTTCCACTTGCACTATTGTATTTATTTTAAATTTTTCATCTGCATTAGAATATTTTTCATACTGTGAAAAATAAATATATTCAGAACAGTTACAAAACATTGCAAAGAATTATTGTGTTAAAGCTGGCACTGATTCCAAGCAGATAGAATGTTTATTATTTCATGTAACAACCAGCATACTCAGGATCAGGGAAAAACCAAACAGATAAGCATTCTGAATGCATTACTTTATTTCAGTTGCCTATTTTGGTGAAAAAATATAATATGGGTTCATCTACATCAGAAAGCATCCCTAGTGATATGTAGGGAAAATAAATTAAATAAACAGAATAAGAAAAGTATCTATTTAATTCATCATAACTTAGATGAGCTTATTTGGTAGGCAAAAAAATATCAAGGCTTTCACTAAGTTCTGGTAACAACTAGAAAACATCAGGTGTATTAATTGGCTTTTCCCCTCCTTCACTTCAATCAGTCCCACAAAGCCAAAAGTATTGCTTGCTTATTTTACCAAGTGATACCCGTTTTCTTGCTGTTGAAAAATAAAAAAAAATATTCACAGAAATAACATTTGTGCGGCTGCTCCTGCATACACTTTCATAAAGCCATATAAAAAAGATGCAGGTCTCAGATCAAAACTGTTCCCTACTGAGTCTGTAGGGCAAACCTTTAAACAATACCAGAGATTATTAAACAAAATAAAAGCTGAATGACTATTGCACCACATTTGCTTTTAGCAACCTAAACCTGACTTCTGTTTGTGTAGTTCTTATGGTCTTGCTTCCATTACAGGTGCTAACAGGTCCACAAAATATGGAATTAAAATTGCTTTTTCCCCAGCCTAGTAAATCCATCAGCATTACCTCTTAAAAAAAAAGCTAGGACAGAGGTGGCCAAAAATCATAGAATGATTTTGGTCAGAAGAGGCTTTTAAAGGTCATTTATTCCAACAACCTTGCCATGAGCAGGGACATCTTCAACTAGATCACATTACTCAGGGCCTCATCCAAACTGGCCTTGAATGTCCTAGGGTTGGGGGCTGTGTTGTGCATCTACCACCCCTCTGGGCAACCTGTCCAAGGTTCTTGTAAAACCCTCCTTGTAAAACATTTCTTCCTAATACCCAGTCTGAATCTACCCTCTTTTAGTTTGAAAGAATTACCTTGTCCTTGCATAGTTTAAAAGCATTATCTTGTCCTTGCACAGTATGTGCTCTATCTTTATTATGAGCCCCATTTGAATTCTGGAGGACCACAACAAGGTTTCCCCAGGGCCTTCTCCTCTCCAGGCTAAGCAGCCCCAACTCTCTCAGCCTTTCCTCACCAGAGAGGTGCTCCAGCCCTCTGATACTTTTATCACCCTCCTCTGTGTCCTTTGTGTGCTGGGGTCCCCAGAGCTGATGCAGTCCTGCAGGTGGAGTCTCACCAGAGCTGGGCAGAAGGGCAGAATCCCTTCCATCCCCTGCTGCCCACAGGGCTCTGGATCCTTCCAGAATCCCTTCCATCCCCTGCTGCCCACAGGGCTCTGGATCCTTCCAGAATCCCTTCCATCCCCTGCTGCCCACAGGGTTCTGGATCCTTCCAGAATCCCTTCCATCCCCTGCTGCCCACAGGGCTCTGGGTGCAGCCCAGGACACCTCTGGCTCTCTGCACTGTGAGTGCCCATGGCTGGCTCATGCCCAGCCTCTCACCAGCAGCACCCACATCCTCCTGGGCAGGGCTGCTCTCCAGCTCTTCATCCCCAGCCTGGGCTGACAACGGGAGCAGCCCCACCCCAGGGGCAGCATCTCACATTTGGTCTTAGTGAGATTCCTCTGGGCCATTTCTGGAGCTTGTCTGGATCCCTCTGGATGGCATCCTGTCCTTCAGGTGTGCCAGCTGCAGCACACAGCTGGGTGCTGTCTAAAAACTCACTGAGGGTGTGCTCAGTCCTACTGACCCTGGCACTGATGAAGATGTTAAAGGGTCCTGGGCTGGTGCAGACCCTCAGGGCCACCACTCATTACCAGCCTCCATCCAGGCACTAAGCATCACTTATAGGGATCACTTACATCCTTCAGGGAGAAGGAGGCTGTGGGCACCATGTCCATGCACCACAGAGCTACAGGCAGCCATCCACAGCCCTTCCCTGCTGACTGATACTGTCACTCCATTAGAGAAGGTCACTTACTGGTTTTTGCTCCTCTTGTTGGGCTCCAAGGGGCTCCCCTGATGGGGGAAAACCTCCTTTAACAGTTCTGTCCCAGGATTGAGAGACTCACGGGACCTTGTTTGGTCTTCAGGTTGCTGGGTATTTTTATCTCATCAAACGTTTTGGCACGCTGTCTGTACCAGACTTCGCATAAGGGAAAACACACCAAAATGGCTACAAGATGTACAGTTTCAAGGTCTTTTAAAGCTGTTCCATCCAATTAATTATTAAAATGTACTTTCTTTCTACCTTTCTACCAATAACTTATCCCTGGTCTGTCCACGTAACCTCTGCACCACAGCTTTCCTCAACCAATCGCCCTGTGCCACCAACACTGCAGAAAATGGAGCAGATGAAGAAGAGGCTCAAGACAAGGCTGAAGAACCTCCATCCTGCCTTCCATAAGAAAACATCCCAAAATCTAAATCTCTCACCCTGTGACAAACTACAATATTCTCCATTATCTATCTCAAACTCTTGTAGACTCTAGTCTATCCTGAAGTCTTGGAAGCCCTCTCCATGGACAAAGGTCCAAGTCAGTGCTTCTCTGGGGGTCAGGACCCCTCAGAGCAGACAGAGAAATATTCCCTGTGCCCTGGGTTCCAGCAGTCTCTGGGTGGCCTTGCCCTTGGTGAAGCTGTGCTGCTGTTTTCAGTCACCTCCCTGTGCCTCAGCAGAGCACCAGTGGATCTGTTCTCTTCCCAGGATGGAGGGGAGGCTGACTGGCCACTAATTCCCAGGGTCTTCCTTTCTAACCTTTTTACCAGCAACATGATAACTTTTTAAATTACAAGATTAAGAATTTTTATAATGTATTGCCTAAACCATTAAAAAAAACTCCAATGGAAACTATTAACACATTTGAAACATTGTTTTGGTCAAATCCTGCAAGTCTGAGGTGATACATTTGATTATTTGCAATTTTTTTTCTGTTTCAAACCACCAAACAACTCTATTTAACCATCATCTCCCCATCAATTTTTTCCACTCAGACCTATTTCCATTGCAATTTTCTAGAGGTCAGCTTAAACATATATAGAATATATATCATTTTAACCTGAGCAACAAACTATAAGACATGAAACTGCTGGTGGAGCTAGTAATTTGTCTCTGCAATTGACCTTTCAGTGCTCCATCTATTTCATATTTCCATTTAATCACAAAGCCAGGGTTATTCTCACTCAGTTACTCTATATGCATTTTACCATTTTGTTCAAATCCTTACCTTTGTTCTTTTCAAATCAAGTTTGAAAATGTTCTTGAATTTTTCACCAAATTGAAGAATTATAACATCCCATGCTGTTCAGAAGTAGTATATTCTTTCCTATGCTATAATCAGCTGTATGGACTATTTTTAGTTTTGAAAACAAAATAGATGGAATTGAATTAATCACTGCTGAGTTAGCCCTTATTTCTCCATTAAAAAAATATGGAATGACAGTTTTAACATGAACATTTAGGAAGTCATTCAACATAAAATTTGAAATACTTTTGCTTGCACCTATTATGAAACATTCTCACAGGTCATGTGAGAGAAAACACAATTCAATTAGCTTAACTGCACCACAAAGACGACCAATGCTGTCTTTAGATCCACCATCAGAAATGCTGTGTTTAAAGAGATGTGCTCAAAAATAGAAGATTGAAACTTAGAAACTCTCTTTTAAAATATTTATAAATTTCCACTCTGATTAGAGTGCTAGCAATTATATAATTTTTCTTAAATTCAATTATATACCTCAATTTCATCACCTGCTCTCAGTCAGGAAGTAAAATACCTTTTATGAAATAAGAACAAACTTGCTGAATGTGCAAAGGTGAAAGTAATTCTTAGAGAGGTCATCAAGGACAAAAGCTGTTTGCCTCCAAGTTTTCCTTAGCCTGCTACCAGCATGGCCATTTCTTCTGCATAATTTGTACCCTGGTATCCAAGTGTGTCAAAATTTATCCCCTGCTTGTCAGGAACATGCCCATTGTGTCAATATCCTGCTGTAATATATGTGCATTTATTGATAATGTACTTAAAAATGGGAGTATTTATTAACAACTAGCTTTTATTATACTAAGGCTGTCTCACAC